AAGCGTGCTCCGGGGACGATCTTGGGGGGTGAGATTCGTGGCCAATCTTTTGGATTCGCTTGACCCACACACTGAAAAGGACAGTTGTGGGTTCTGAACTTGATATTGTTGTGCCTCGTTGATCAAGTAAGGGTACGTTTCAAATCTCCCCAAAAAAGGCCTCACACACACACACACACACACACACACACACACACACACGCACACACACACACACACACACACACACACACACACACACACACACACACACACACACACACACACACATGCTGTTCAGACCTTCGTTATGTAGTTTCTGAGCTATGTTCAGAAATATTACAATACATGATAATAATATTATCATAACTTCATCATTTTATTTAGGTATGCGTTTCCTAAACCACTTTTTAAAATTCTCCATAGCAATGGACGTAATATCGGCACGTTGTAAATACATCATGAGAAGACGGGTCTTACATTTGCAAACAAATGATCGTTCGTTCCCCTGAAGAAATAATCCGCAATCAGGAAATAGCTTAAAAGCAGGGGAGTTTGTTTTTTTAAAACGAGCTGTAGAAATCCAAACTTCTTCGAATAAATATTCTAAGCTAAATGAAACAAAAACATCGATGAAGTGATATAAAGCGTTTGCAAGGCTCAAGAAAGTTCAGAAACCGAAATTGAAGTACTGACCCCACCCCCACCCCCCTTTTCTACAATCACCACCACACCGCAATCCCCCCGTTTATCCCACTTTTAAAAATTGAAGAGAAAATCTTTGACTCTGTCCCGTCTGTCTCACTCTTGTGATCCAGTCCCCCCTCCATTCTCTCTCTCTCTTTCTCTTTCTCTTTCTCTTTCTCTCTCTCTCTCTCTCTCTCTCTCTCTCTCTCTCTCTCTCTCTCTCCCTCTCTCTCTTTCTCTCCTATCTATCTATCTATCTATCTATCTATCTATCTATCTATCTATCTATCTATCTATCTATCTATCTATCTATCTATCTATCTATCTATCTATCTATCTATCTATCTATCTATTTCTCTCTCTTCCATTTTCTTTTCTCTCTCCCCACACCCATCTATCTCTCTCTCTATCTATCTATCTATCTATCTATCTATCTATCTATCTATCTATCTATCTATCTCCCTTTCTCTCTTCTTTTCTTTCACAAACGTGTTTTCTTTCGCCCCCTTTTCTCTGTCTGCTGAAACTACTAAATTCAGAACACCCAAGTTGAAATCAAAGTTATGTATACGTGTAAGGTATTTTGCATTTTGCTGGCTGTAAAAGTGGGATAAAATAGGAGAGAAAAAAACCAAAACGTCTCTTAAAACAAATTTGAAAGAAAAACTTTTTACATCCTGAATATTGTCATTCGTTTATGTTTTATTTCAATTTCAGCGAATGTTTGGATTCTTCTTGTTCCTGTTCTCTTTGCTATTGTTGTTGTTGTTGTTGTTATTGTTGTAATTGCTGCTGTTGCTGCTTTTGCTGTTGTTATCCTTGCCGTTGTTGACGTTGTTGTTGT